CACCATGGCATGGGCATTTGGGCTGGCCATGGGTGACACCTCTGGGTGGCCCTGGTGCCCCTAAAGGACAGGCTGGTGGCCACCGTTGGATAGATGTTGAAGCACTCAGTGGGCTGGCCATGGGTGACACCTCTGGGTGGCCCTGGGGACCCTCAAGGACAGGCTGGTGGCCACCGTTGGATAGATGTTGAAGCACTCAGTGGGCTGGCCATGGGTGACACCTCTGGGTGGCCCTGGGGACCCTCAAGGACAGGCTGGTGGCCACCGTTGGATAGATGTTGAAGCACTCAGTGGGCTGGCCATGGGTGACACCTCTGGGTGGCCCTGGGGACCCTCAAGGACAGGCTGGTGGCCACCGTTGGATAGATGTTGAAGCACTCAGTGGGCTGGCCATGGGTGACACCTCTGGGTGGCCCTGGGGACCCTCAAGGACAGGCTGGTGGCCACCGTTGGATAGATGTTGAAGCACTCAGTGGGCTGGCCATGGGTGACACCTCTGGGTGGCCCTGGGGACCCTCAAGGACAGGCTGGTGGCCACCGTTGGATAGATGTTGAAGCACTCAGTGGGCTGGCCATGGGTGACACCTCTGGGTGGCCCTGGGGACCCTCAAGGACAGGCTGGTGGCCACCGTTGGATAGATGTTGAAGCACTCAGTGGGCTGGCCATGGGTGACTTCTTGGGGTTGGGTTGGTGGCCACCCCAAGATGGGTGCCTGGGCATGGCCGGGTCACCAGGCCAGACACGGTGACACCTCTGGGTGGCCCTGGGGACCCTCGGGGCTGGGTTGGGGACCCTGGCGTCCTACCTGAAGCCAGGAAGATGGGGCGCAGGGTGTCGGGGTGGAAGAGGCGTAGGATGGGCAGCCACGGCAAGAGCCACCAGAGGCAGCCGTGCCGGTACCGTGCCACCAGCTCGTCCACCTGCTGCAGTCCCTCCTCCGTGCTCTTCCCCTGCGCCACGGGGCACCGCAGGGCTCAGTGACAGCTTTGGGGACACCCTTGTCCCCAAGGGTCATGGCCAGCCTTGGGGACGGGCTTGTCTCCAGCTCGTGGCCAGACTTGGGGATGGTCTCAGCTTGGGTTCATGGATGGGCTTGGGGACACTCAGAGCTCATGTGCCACCACCCTGTCCCTGTCACCCTGCAGGTGCCGCCACCCTGTCCCCACTGCCTCCCATCCTGGATGCCACCACCCTGTCCCTGCTGTCCCCCCCAGTGCCACCACCCTGTCCCTGCCACCCCCCCAGCTGCCACCACCCCCAGCTGCCACCACCCTGACCCTGCTGTCCCCCCCCCAGTGCCACCACCTTGTCCCTGCCACCCCCCCAGCTGCCACCACCCTGACCCTGCTGTCCCCCCCCCAGTGCCACCACCTTGTCCCTGCCACCCCCCCAGCTGCCACCACCCTGACCCTGCTGTCCCCCCCCCAGTGCCACCACCTTGTCCCTGCCACCCCCCCAGCTGCCACCACCCTGACCCTGCTGTCCCCCCCCCAGTGCCACCACCTTGTCCCTGCCACCCCCCCAGCTGCCACCACCCTGACCCTGCTGTCCCCCCCCCAGTGCCACCACCTTGTCCCTGCCACCCCCCCAGCTGCCACCACCCTGACCCTGCTGTCCCCCCCCCAGTGCCACCACCTTGTCCCTGCCACCCCCCCAGCTGCCACCACCCTGACCCTGCTGTCCCCCCCCCAGTGCCACCACCTTGTCCCTGCCACCCCCCCAGCTGCCACCACCCTGACCCTGCTGTCCCCCCCCCAGTGCCACCACCTTGTCCCTGCCACCCCCCCAGCTGCCACCACCCTGACCCTGCTGTCCCCCCCCCAGTGCCACCACCTTGTCCCTGCCACCCCCCCAGCTGCCACCACCCTGACCCTGCTGTCCCCCCCCCAGTGCCACCACCTTGTCCCTGCCACCCCCCCAGCTGCCACCACCCTGACCCTGCTGTCCCCCCCCCAGTGCCACCACCTTGTCCCTGCCACCCCCCCAGCTGCCACCACCCTGACCCTGCTGTCCCCCCCCCAGTGCCACCACCTTGTCCCTGCCACCCCCCCAGCTGCCACCACCCTGTCCCCGCTGTCCCCTGCCAGGTGCCACCACCCTGCCCCACAGTCTCCCATCCTGGGTGCCACCACCCTGTCCCTGCTGTGTCCCCCCCAGCTGCCACCACCCTGTCCCCCCGCTGTCCCCTCACCAAGCCGGTGTGACCCAGCAGCCAGTTGCGCCATGGTGGCCGGGGAAAACGGCGCAGTCGGTGGCAGGTGGCCCGGAAGCAAGTGACAGTGACGGCGGCGTCCCAAAGCCACCGCAGCAGCAGGGCCAGGAGCAGGGTGCCGATGGCCACCGCACCCAGGGGACCCAGCGCCCAGGCCACCGCCATGGCACCCGCTCCGTGGGGACAGGGCAAAGGTCAGGCGGCGGGGTGGGCACGGCGCGGCGATGTCACGTGGCCCCGCAGCCCGGTGTCATCGTGCGCATCCTGGTGGCTTTGTTGTGACGCCTGTCATGGTGGCGTTGTCGCCTCAGGCTGTGCTGGTGGCATCGTCCCCCCCACGTGTCCTGGTGTCACCGTCCCCACATGTGTGTCCTGGTGGCTTCATCTCTTGATGTGTCCTGGTGGCACCGTCCCCCCATGTGTGTCCTGGTGGCACCGTCCTCACACGTGTGTCCTGGTGGCTTCATGCCCTGACACGTGTCCTGGTGGCACCATCCCTACACGCGTGTCCTGGTGGCTTCATGCCCTGACATGTGTCCTGGTGGCACCGTCCCCACACGCGTGTCCTGGTGGCACCGTCCCCCCATGCGTGTCCTGGTGGCCCACGCACACGCAGCCCTCTGCCTTACACGTCCACGTGTGTACGCACACACGCACCCTGCCGTGTGCGCACGCACACACACTTATGTATGCACGCCCCGCCCGCACACGTATACGCCCGCGTGCATGCACACGCAACACACGTGTGTATACACGCATCCTCCATGCCCGCGCACACGCGGACACAGGGATGCACGCACACGCCCCGTGCGCGCGCGCACACACACACGTATGAACCCCCTGCACAAGCACACGCGCACACACGTGCACGGATGCACACACCTGTCCACGCACACGCATGTAAGCACACCCCCCCATGCACACACGTGTATGTATGCACCCCACGCGCACGCGCACGGATGTACGCAGGCACAGGCATGTCGCACGCCGCCGCCGCCGCCCCCCCCAACGCACACGCGTGCCGCGTGTGTCACCCTGCCACGCATCCCCGGCCGAAGTCCACGGGACGCGGCCATGTCCTGCACCATGTTCCCGTGGCTCCTCGTGGCACTGAGCGTCTGCGCCCGGCCCGGCACAGGTAGGCACACGCCACGCCGCGACACTCCGCAACACCCCACAACACGCCACAACATGCCACAACACGCCACAGCACCCCATGGCGCGCCGCAACATGCCACGACGTGCCACAGCACTGCAAAACACGCTACAACACGCCACAACCTTCCATGACATGCCACAACATGCTACAACGCCCCATGATGCGCCACAACGCCCCACAACACGCTACAACCCACCACAACATTCCATGACATGCCACAACATGCTACAACGCCCCACGCCACGACATGCAACAACATGCCACAACACCCTACCACAACACCCCACAACATGCTATAATGCCCCACAACACCCCACAACATACTACAACACACCACAGCACACCATGACATGCCACAACATGCTACAACACCCCACAACATGCTACAACGCCCCATGATGCGCCACAACACCCCACAACATGCTACAACCCACCACAGCATTCCATGACGTGCCACAACATGCTACAATGCCCCACGCCACGACATGCAACAACATGCTACAACACCCTGCAACACCCCACAACATGCCAGAACATGCTACAATGCCCCACAACACCCCGTAACATACTACAACACGCTACAGCACACCATGCCATGCTGCAACACCCCACAACACCCCACAACATGCTATAACACCCCACAACACGCCACAACATGCTACAACACCCCATGACGCGCCACAACACCCCACAACATGCCACAACACGCTACAACCCACCACAACATTCCATGACATGGCACAACATGCTACAATGCCCCACGACATGCCACGACATGCAACGACATGCTACAACACCCTACAACACCCCACAACACGCTACAACATGCTATAACACCCCACAACATGCCACAACACGCTATAACACCCCACAACACGCCACAACACCTCACAACATGCTACAACACCCCACAACACGCCCCAACACGCTACAGCCCACCACACCATTCCATGACATGCCACGCCACGCCACGCCACCCCCCAACACGCTAGAACACGCCCCAACACGCCACGCCACGCCACAACAGGCCGCAATACATCGCAACACGCCCCGGCCTGCAGCCCCACGCTACAACACGCCCCAACACGCCACCACACGCGTGTGGCAACCGCGGGGGCTTCTCCAAGCCCAATTTTGGGCCAAAATGGCTCCGGTTGCACTTTTTTTTGTCCCTAATTAGGCCGATTCCAGCCCAAATTTGTGCCCCCATGGGTGGTTTGGGGGGGGGCCAGGGGGGTATTTTGGGCGTCAGCCGGGCTTTGGGTGCTCGCGACGGGTGCGGTCACCCTGCTTTGGGGTGCTTTTGCCCTTTTTGGGGGGGTACTTTTGCCTTTTTTGGGGTGTTTTGGGTGCAGTCACCCGGTTCTGGGTGCTTTAGTCCTGATTTTGGGGTGTTTTCACCCTGGTTTGGGTGCGTTCCCCCTCTTCTGGGTGCTTTTGCCCTGGTTTGGGTGCCTTCGCCCTTTTCTGGGTGCCCTCACCCTGTTTTGGGGTGCTTGCACCCTGTGCTGGGTGCTTTAGTCCTGCTTTGGGGTGTTTTCACCCTGGTTTGGGTCCATTCACCCTTTTCCTGGGTGCTTGCGCCCTCCCCTGGGTGCTTTCACCCTGTTTTGGGTGCCTTTGTCCTGCTTTGGGGTGTTTTCACCCTGTTTGGGGTCTTTTCACCCTGTTTTGGGTGCGTTGACCCTTTTCTGGGTGCACTCACCCTGCTCTGGGTGCATTTGCTCTGCTATGGGTGCTTTTGTCCTGTTTTGGGTGCATTTCCCCTTCTTTGGGTGCTTTCCCCTTGGTTTGGGTGCTTTCCCCTTGGTTTGGGTCTTTTCAACCTGTTTTGGGTGCATTCACCCTTTTCCTGGGTGCTTGCGCCCTCCTCTGGGTGCTTTCACATTGCTCTGGGTGCAGTCACCCAGGTTTAGGTCCTTTCACTCTGTTTTGGGTGCATTTGCTCTGGTTTCGGATGCATTTGCCTTCCTCTGGGTGCATTTGCTCTGCTATGGGTGCTTTCACCCTGTTTTGGGTGCATTTCCCCTTCTTTGGGTGCTTTTCCCTTGCTTTGGGTGCTTTCACCCTGTTTTGGGTGCAGTCATCCTCTTCTGGGTGCAGTCACCCTGTTTTGGGTGCTTTCACCCTGCTTTGGGTGCATTCATTCTGTTCTGGGTGCTTTCACCCTCTTTTGGGCGCAGTCACCCTCTTTTGGGTGCGTTCGCCCCGGTTTGGGTGCTTTCACCCTCTTTTGGGTGCATTCGCCCTGTTTTGGGTGCATTCCCCCTCATTTTGGTGCAGTCACCCTCTTTCGGGTGCATGCTCACCCACCCTGGGAGACTCTCGCCATCCCTGCACCCACGGGTGCCATCCCTGCACCCACGGGCACCCCCCGACCCCACGGGTGCCCCTCGGTCCCCTCCCACGTCCCTGTCCCCTCCCCAGGTCTCCCACCACGCCACATGGACTCCGTGGTTCAGATCGTGGCAATCCTCGAGTCAACCGACGACGGCTTCACCGGCACCGTGCCGGAGCTGGCGCGGGCGCTGGGCGGCTGCGGCACCCCGGGGTGCCGCGCGGTGCTGGGAGAGCCACCCGATGTCCCACCAGCCCCACCAACGCTCAACGGCGAGCAGTGGCTGCTCTTCACCCAACTCCTCCACCACGACGCCGCGGCACCCGAGCGCGGCGCGGTGCTGGCGCCCGATGGCTCCACCGTCGCCCTTGGCCCCCTCCTCGCCGGCATCGAGGTCGGCCTCAAGCGGGCGGCGGGGTGGCCCGACCCCGCCATCGAGCCACCCATCGACGCGCTCTATGCCGTCACCATCGCTGAGGTTTTGGGGACATCCTTCCTCTTGGCTCGTGACGGCAACCGAACCACGCTGGGACCCGGCGGCTGTTGGGATGACGTGGTTGACCCCCAAAACTACACTCTGCTGGGACCCCCCTCACCCATCCCTGATGCCGTTGCCAACGGGGCGATGGATGGGGTGCTGTTGGGTGCCCAACTGGCCCGAGCACCCATCCCGCTCGCCGACCTTCTCTGGGGCTACTATGGGACGGGCAATGGCACGGAGAAGGGGCGACCACCCAGCAGTTACCGATGGCGAGATTTCGGGGTGCTGACGGGGCCGGGGAAGCTGGAGGAGGAGGTGGCGGCGATGCTGAGGGTGCTGCGGGTGCTGCCACCCACCCGGGAGCTCTTGGAGGACGTGGGGCCGGAGGAGGTGGTGGCCATCGCTCGCCAAGCGGCGCAGGACTTCACGGAGGCCTACGTGGGTAGGGAGGCGGCGCCGGGTCGCGAGATCCCATCTCCCCCAGCCCAAAAATAAAATGGGGTGGGAGGAAGGGTGGCGAGCTGCACCCTGGGGGAGGCTGGGGGTCCCCAGTGTCGCCCCGGTGGAGGTGGCACTGCGGGGTGGTAAGGTCTGAGAGCTGACTGGTGACACACGGCCTGGCACGGCCAGACACCACCATGGCCCCTGGATGGCCACCACCACCATGTCCCCTGGATGGCCACCACCATGTCCTCTGGATGGACACCGATGTGTCCCCTGGATGGCCACCACCATGTCCTCTGGATGGCCACCACCATGTCCCCTGGTTGGACGCCACTCTGTCTCCTTGATGGCCACCACCATGGCCTCTGATTGGACACCGATGTTTCCCCTGGATGGCCACCACCACATCCCCTGGATGGCCACCACCACCATGTCCCCTGGATGGCCATCACCATGTGCTCTGGATGGACGCTGATGTGTCCTCTGGATGGCCACCACCATGTCCTCTGGATGGCCACCACCCTGTCCCCTGGATGGCCACCACCATGTCCCCTGGACGCTGGACACAGCCGTGTCCCCAGCCAACACCTGAGCAGATGCCCCACGTCCCCTAGCTGAGGGGACCCCAGGAGGACGCCACCATGTCCCCCACCGAGGGGCTCCTCAGCGGGGCAGATGCTCCGTGTCCCCAAGACCCCAAGGGGACGCTGCCAGGTCCCCAACCACCCATGGGACCGAGTCCCCTTCTTCCACCGCCTGCCTTCCCTCGCAGAGTGCCCGGCCATCGTGCCCCGGTGCATGTGGGGTGCCCGTCCCTACCGGGGCACCCCCAAACCCTTGACCCTGCCCTTGGACTCTGTCTACATCCACCACACCTTCACACCCAGCGCCCCGTGCCGCACCTTCACCGCCTGCGCCCGCGCCATGCGCTCCATGCAACGCTTCCACCAGGACACCCGCGGGTGGGATGACATCGGCTACAGGTGAGATCCCGGCACCGGCGCCCTACCGCGGTCCCCGGCGCCCATCTCCAAGCAGCTCAGGTTGACCCATGGGTGCTTGCAGCTTCGTGGTGGGGTCGGATGGGTACCTGTACCAAGGCCGAGGTTGGCACTGGGTTGGTGCCCACACCAAAGGCTACAACAGCAAAGGCTACGGCGTGGGCTACGTCGGAGACTTCTCGGCCACCTTGCCGGACCCCGATGCCATCGCCCTGGTGCGGGACAGGCTCCTGCCCTGCGCCGTGCGGACCGGCCGGCTTCACCGCAACTACACCCTACGTGGTCACCGCCAGATGGGTCACACCGACTGCCCCGGCAACTCCCTCTTCCGTGAGATCGAGACCTGGCACGGCTTCAAGGTGAGCGCCGAGCTCCGTGGCATCTCCAGGGGTTGGTGGTTCGGTGGCCGGCTGGGGTGGCCGGTCTGGTTTGGCACGGCGAGGAGGACGGGGGTTTGGCGGAGGTGGATGTAGGAGGTGATGTGGTTTCTTCTCTCCTCTGCAGTGAGGACCAGCCCCGTGGCTCCTGGTCTGGATGGGTGCGGGCAAGGTTGGCTCATGGTCTAGATGGATGCTGGCCCAATGGGTGATGGTCTGGAATGGCCTGGTCCAGATGGACATCAGGCTGGTGGTCACCAGCCTGGATGGACCCTGGTCCAGATGGACACCAGGCGGATGGACACCAGCCTGGATGGACCCTGGTCCAGATGGACACCAGGCGGATGGACACCAGCCTGGGTAGGTCCTGGTCCAGATGGAGACCAGGCTGATGGACACCAGCCTGGATGGACCCTGGTCCAGATGGACCCAGATCCAAAGGTTGCCAGCCCAGATGGACCCTGGTCCAGACAGACCCTGACCCAATGGATGCCATCATGGCTCAGCCCTGGTCCGGGTGGACACCAGCCCAACGGATGCCAACCCTGATGGACACTGGCCCAGAAGGACCCCAGCCTTGAAGGCTACCAGCCTGGACAGATCCTGGCCCAGGTGGGCGCCAGCCTGGATGGATCCTGGCCCGGTCCCGCTGGCCCAGCAGACCATCCCTGTAGCCACAATAAAGTCAGCACCAGGACATCAGCTCTGGGTGGTCCCTGAGGGGGAAACTGAGGCACCGGGCGGGTGTTGGTCATAGGAGAGGAGTCAAGCGAGGGACCTGGGTGCCCGGGGCCTGCTGCAGGGCTGGGTGCTGTGGCACCCCTAACCCACCTTGAAGACCCCACATGACTCCCAAGGAGACACCCCCCCACCTCCATACCCCCCCC